GTAAAGAATACGTAGTAGGTTACTCTAGTGACATCGTTCATTCGTGTGCTTGTGCTCTCTCCACAAGTTCAGTGTTATTTGTGATTATTATACCTCCAATACGTCTGGTGTTAAGCACAAAAGCAGTGGTGATGCAGGTGGTAGTGCTAAGAAGTGCCAGGCCATCAAAAAGGTAACAAAAGTGGAAATAATAAAGAAAGTGTAGAGAAGTGAAAAGATGGTGAACGTTGCCCGTTTGTACAACATGATTCTCGAGAACAAGGACAAGATTATGAAACACATGAAAAGTTCACTGCCAGTGCAGTCTACAATAATCAGTAAGAGCTGTGGAAAAATGATGGAAGATCTTGAAAAACTGTCAAGCATTTGGCTCAAAGATCAGCAACAGTGTCAGGTGTCAGTGAACCTAATGCTGATCCAAGTGGAGCTGACCAATGAAGACCTCACAAGCTGGAAGCCCAGAGAAAGGAGGAAGAAAAAGAAGAGGAAGTGGAAATGGTTCCAGAACCAAAGTGCTTCCTGACAAAGATGACGGTAGAGGGGTTTTGTTTGCTTGAAGAATCTCTGTCGTTTGAATCGCAGAACCCGAATGTGGAACAGTACACCAAGGTTTCAGCAGCTGTCCATGATGCAGTTCACTGCTACTGCCTCATCTATGAAGAGAAGGCCACCACCCAGACATCCCTAGACCACTTCTTCAAGAGGGTGGACAAAGGTAATGAGTCTCGCCAGGAGCCTGAATTAGTGCCATTGACTTCAGATGCTATGACATTCAGGCCAACACCTCACTGTCTATTTTATTAAATTTATATTATTTATAAAATTTGTTATAAATATAAACTTTATTTCATTTATAACGCATGTTTTGTTTACTAACGTACGGTAGGTTATACTAGTAAACTCAGTGTTCATGTGTATATATATGTACTACACTACTGTACAGTACTGTATACGTACATATGTTGGACTTATGAACAAATGGACTTACGAACGACCGCTTAGAACCGAACTTGTTCGTAAGTAGGGGAGTATCTGTATAATTAATCCTGATATTTGTGTTGTTAATTTGGCTTTATTTCTAAATATTGTATTATACATTAATATTTTTATGTTGTGTGCAAGTGTGTTGGCTTTCATTAAAATAAATATATTTTAAGTGCATTGTTTACTATGCTAGGACTATCAGGTCTGGGTTTGAGTTGACAGATGTATGGTCATCTTTAGATAGCATGGTTTAAGTTACTGGGAGGCATGTGGTAGGTCACAAGCACAAAATAAAAATGTTGTAGATGGCCTTGGAAGCAGATTTGTAATATTGTACAGCAAATAAACACATTTTCCTAGCATTTTTCATTTCAGAGCATCTTTTTTTATACTCCATATGGTTCTGCTGAAACATTTAGCCATCTGCTAATGTCACTGTTGCTGTGAATATCACTTGTTAGATTAAAGGAGGTGGCATGGTGATTGACCACCAGGCCACCTGGTGGTCATCCACTACTGACCCTTCCCACCCAAGCTTGACTGACCTAGATTTTGTTAGCACACAATTCAAACCTGTGATGTTTTGGATTGCATATTTACATTTTTTTTAATTAATACAGGTTGACCATCACTAATCCGGCATCATCGGGACCTGTAGGATGCTGGACTAGTGATTTTGCTGGTTAGGTTAGAATACACCTAACCCAATGGCAATATTTACACATTGGTGATTTCGCCCACTTTACACCCTATTTCTGGCCCATTCCATTGTTCCAGTTTACCAAACTCACAGCTATTTTGCTAGTATTCCTTCTACTCTGTTGATTGAGTACAAGAAACCTCTCATTTACCTATTTCAAGTACCCAATAAAGCGGTCAGAAATCGGTAACTTGGCCAGTTTCACACAAATTTCAAGAGATGCCAATTTCAAAATAGGGTCCAGAATAAACAATGCGGACATTCCTGGCACTAAAATAACATTTTCTCTGTTCATTAGTCACATCTCCAGGCCCCTCTTATATTATGCTTGCTTTCCATTTTGAATTTTCATTTACATGAAAAATAGAAGATTTACTGTTATGCAGACTACTGCATTATTGTAATAATTGTATAAATAATGTCAACCCATTCATGACTGCATATTAGATCTGCCATTTGGACACGTATTAGATGGTGATGTCATTTGTTTACACGTGAACATTGGCAAAAATTTAACATTTTCCCTACTTTTAGCTTAATTTCAAGGTACAGTACTTTCCATCATGAAACCAATCAAAATCATATCTTTTTTTTTATTTTTTATTATCACACTGGCCGATTCCCACCAAGGCAGGGTGGCCCGAAAAAGAAAAACTTTCACCATCATTCACTCCATCACTGTCTTGCCAGAAGGGTGCTTTACACTACAGTTTTTAAACTGCAACATTAACACCCCTCCTTCAGAGTGCAGGCACTGTACTTCCCATCTCCAGGACTCAAGTCCGGCCTGCCGGTTTCCCTGAATCCCTTCATAAATGTTACTTTGCTCACACTCCAACAGCACGTCAAGTATTAAAAACCATTTGTCTCCATTCACTCCTATCAAACACGCTCACGCATGCCTGCTGGAAGTCCAAGCCCCTTGCACACAAAACCTCCTTTACCCCCTCCCTCCAACCCTTCCTAGGCCGACCCCTACCCCGCCTTCCTTCCACTACAGACTGATACACTCTTGAAGTCATTCTGTTTCGCTCCATTCTCTCTACATGTCCGAACCACCTCAACAACCCTTCCTCAGCCCTCTGGACAACAGTTTTGGTAATCCCGCACCTCCTCCTAACTTCCAAACTACGAATTCTCTGCATTATATTCACACCACACATTGCCCTCAGACATGACATCTCCACTGCCTCCAGCCTTCTCCTCGCTGCAACAGTCATCACCCACGCTTCACACCCATATAAGAGCGTTGGTAAAACTATACTCTCATACATTCCCCTCTTTGCCTCCAAGGACAAAGTTCTTTGTCTCCACAGACTCCTAAGTGCACCACTCACTCTTTTTCCCTCATCAATTCTATGATTCACCTCATCTTTCATAGACCCATCCGCTGACACGTCCACTCCCAAATATCTGAATACGTTCACCTCCTCCATACTCTCTCCCTCCAATCTGATATTCAATCTTTCATCACCTAATCTTTTTGTTATCCTCATAACCTTACTCTTTCCTGTATTCACCTTTAATTTTCTTCTTTTGCACACCTACCAAATTCATCCACCAATCTCTGCAACTTCTCTTCAGAATCTCCCAAGAGCACAGTGTCATCAGCAAAGAGCAGCTGTGACAACTCCCACTTTGTGTGTGATTCTTTATCTTTTAACTCCACGCCTCTTGCCAAGACCCTCGCATTTACTTCTCTTACAACCCCATCTATAAATATATTAAACAACCACGGTGACATCACACATCCTTGTCTAAGGCCTACTTTTACTGGGAAAAAATTTCCCTCTTTCCTACATACTCTAACTTGAGCCTCACTATCCTCGTAAAAACTCTTCACTGCTTTCAGTAACCTACCTCCTACACCATACACTTGCAACATCTGCCACATTGCCCCCCTATCCACCCTGTCATATGCCTTTTCCAAATCCATAAATGCCACAAAGACCTCTTTAGCCTTATCTAAATACTGTTCACTTATATGTTTCACTGTAAACACCTGGTCCACACACCCCCTACCTTTCCTAAAGCCTCCTTGTTCATCTATTTTTGTAATATATCATCCATTATATCAAACAAGACCAAAAAATGAGAATACACTTATAAAAACCATATGAAAGTACACCACAGAGTCGCTGTTTTACATGGTCAGTTTTTTCTCATTATGCACTGCGTGCTGCAGGAATTTTTTTTTATAGAGTGCACATTTACCACACAGACCTATTATATCATATATAAGCCCAAATTTACAGGTCACAGCTTATCTGGGTGAGCTGAGCTCATGGTGACCAACAGTGGCTTTAGAGCCACTTCATCTTTTATGGACAATGTATGGCATATGTGCTTTACACATACCATGGAACCATGGCTAGGGCTAAAAGTGATCAGGTTATAACAATAAATGGAGGAAAAACAAATTGGAATAACTTATGCAGCAAGTAGTGCCACTGAACAGTAGCGGCAGGTTGGTGTGGTGAAATTAGCCGAAATTAGTGCCGGATTACTGATGGAACTGGATTACTGATTGCCGGATTAGTGATGGCCGACCTGTATAATGATGTAAGAAGATACAGTAGCAAATCAACACTTGTAGTTTATTCTAGCGATTGATAAGTAATTGGCAAGAGTGGATAAACACTAAGGAGTATAAAAATGTTGCTAGCTCATTACAAGAGAAGCAAAGCAAAGTATGTAGATTACATAGAAGCTTACCATGAAGAAATAGTATGTCTGAGACTAGGACGCAGTGCAAGACCATTGATCTTTCTAAAGACTGCAAATTTTGTTACTGTTTGATAATTACTTTGCTCACTTTCCTGCTGACCATTTATGCCCACAAGCCTCTCTCTCAGAACTGCAACTTTCATATGATATTATGCCATTATTCGCTAGCTCTGCTTGCAGATCTGCAGTTAGTGTATGTTGACTATACTATCTCATACATATTTTATATTTTTTAAATGTCCTATTTGTGCTACAGCTGGCCCAAAATAGTACAGAATGTTTGATTAATATTGTTTCTGGATTGACATGCCAAGGTAATCTAGAATGCAGCTTCTTTTTTCCCATTGAAGTACTATACAGTGAATGTTCCATACCCACGGATTCATCATTGACAGGCTTCTTTTGAGTACATTCCTCGCTGAGACTGGATGCAATACTGTATTCCTTAGTGTATTTATTTTAAATATATTAAACACTGTAAAGCATATAGCACAGCAACAAAGACTAATTATTTACTGTTGATAATATTTTCTCATATGCCCAGTAATCCTTTAATGTTTTCCACTCAGTATGTTGTTTTCATTATCAGGCGTGCTAGCTTACTGGTAAACCACTGGCTGTGCATCTGTTCTGCTTTATTGCTGATGTGCTGTAAAATGATGGGCTCAGTAGAGATGCTAATCATTGGACGCTTCACATCTGGCATTTGTTCAGGTGGGAATTGATGAGGACACGGTTTACATTTTTATTTCCTCTTTTAGTGTCTCAAAATTTATGCAAATAATTTATGTGTAAAACGGTATGGTGATACTGACAAGATGTGGAAAAAGACACTTATGTACAGTTCAGGACATTTATTATAGGAAATGATTACATTTGTGTAATTGGTTCCAAAGTGCCAATGTTGTGAGTGTGAAATATCGTGCCAGAATGTGCAAGTTGGGGGCCCTGCTGTAATTGGTTTTGTGGTGACGTATGTGGTAATCCCCTTTTCCCAGATTAACCAGCCCTCATATTTTGTACAGGTCAACGTAAATGTGTGTGTTTCTACCATCGTGGGACATATTGATGCCAAGAGTAGATATACTGGTTGTTTGTATCCTGTATAGGTTACAGATAAATAAAGTGATGTATGATGCTGAGTATTATATCATCCTGAAGGTTGTCTGCAATTTATACTTGGACTTATTGATGCATCAACAGGTAAATGTGTGGACAGGTATAGTATTTTTTTTATAGTAAGTTGCAAGATTAACAGCAACAGATGTTTTTACATTATTCATTGGTGCCAGACACACAACCAGAGTGTGCCTTATTCAGAAGCAGAGTTTGCTTCACTCTTAAATTTAGTGATACTAAGAGAAGTCTAATTAAAGTGTTATGGGTCATGTATTAGAGGATGAGATGTGCATAAAATTTAGCATGTGTAAATTATAGTTGGTAATGGGAAGACTGCTCATACTGCTTAAATAACATAATCATGAGTGTAACATTGCTGTGCTGTATATGCAATACTGGTACTGTAGTTAATAGTATATTATTTTCATTTTAAATGCAGCTTTACACTAAAATATGTAAATGTGTAGTTTGAGAATTTAAAGATGTTCTTAAACATTAAACTCACATGCTTAGCAAATAAACTGCATCATATTTTTAAACTGAAAAGTCATGGCATACTCATGAGAATTTATAGTAAATTATAATTTTGAGTAAGCTTATATAGTAGAGTAAATTCTCCTATAATGTGACTTAGATGATTTTGTTGCAACGCTATTGAAAAAGTGCAACCAAAAATTTTGAAGTCATGCAAAAACATCAAACATCACTTTAAAACATTAAAGAACTAACTAAATATCGGTACTACACACCATGATATTATGGTGTGCATAAAATTTGGGTACTGCACTCTGATAAAAGACTCCTTCCCTTCCACTGATTTCACCACCTACAGTTGTATTCTGGAAGCATCTTATGCCTCACTCACTATTGAGTTTATGAAGCTATTTTGGATATTTTCTTCACTATCTGGCCTCCAGATATTAACAATGGCATCCAATAGGTAATGATTCTGAGGTGCTAAGAATAAGTGTAAATCTAGGACTTTGTTAGAGAAAATAAGTGTTAGATATTCTTAGAGGTGGAACACATGATGGAAACTGCATGTAACTTTTGTGCAAACATCAACTATTCATTCACTTAGAAATGATGAAATACAATAAAACTGTGTTCATTAAGTAGTACAGTTGTTACCTGCTGAAAACAGTGTCACAGAGGCAACTACAGGTGAATTAAATGTGTGGACTGAAAAAAAAAAGTAATGTGACAACTGCCCACAGGATGGGTATGGGGTGCATAATAAAGATATTAAACTAACTGAAGAAACATAAAGGGGCTCCACTTAGTGCCCTGTCATACTTCAAAACTGTGTATAAGAATGAAGGTGAAGTTTTACAAGTGTAGTGTAGTTAGGGCTTGATGGTTTGTAAGCTCTTAAAAGTTCAGCCTTCTTTATAATATCAAGTTTTTTGATCAGTTCTATAAAATACTGCAGGGTAAAGCATACCAAAGATGCTGTCCAAAATACTTGAACAGTCCAATACAGCCATCAGTTACGGGTAACTTTGCATCCACATAATTGTTATTATAATCAAAACTATAAATCTTATCTTATCTTATCTTAAAACTTGAGTGCATAACCCATAAAGGTTCATTCACATAAGCACAAGAACCACAGTCAGTAGGGCTGCTTCAGTTTTTGGAATGTAATGTAAATTATGCTGTAGTAATTTTAACCCAGTACAGTAGTAAAAAATTTTTGACAAATTTGGAGATGCATGGAATGCAGCCCTATTTTTTCCAATATGTTCTTCACTTCATATAACCTTATTTTTTTCATAATGGGCTAATTTTAGGAATGTAATCCATGTGTTATGAGAGGGTTTACTGTACAGTGGTATCTCGGGATACAAATTTAATTGGTTCCAAAAGGCTGTTCGAGTGCTGATACCAAACCAATTTGTTCCCATAAGGAATAATGTAAATTAGATTAATCCAAAACGTTTCAGACCCCCAAATATACACTTACAAAATCACTTACATAATTGTTCGTGTTTTGAGCTGTTCATATCCTGAGGTACCACTGTATATGCAGTGAAAAGATTCTGTAGTGTTGGTATAGCTTGTTTAAAAAGTGATAGAGAATAGCATGTGTTGGTTGTGCCTAAGAATTAACATTTTATCAGGTTCAGTGATTATGGACAAAATATTGTAAGTAGAGAGAAGCTAAGCTCATGGGCATCATGCAGCTGTTATTATAATGGTTTGGCACAGTTATAAAACAAATTACTGTACAGTAAGTCCTCAACTTCGTCAATAAGTTCTTGGAAACTGTGACTTTAGGTGAAATTGGAAACTGCGACTTTTGGCAAAACAACGTATAACAAAACCAGTTTTATCATAGGCTAATTGGTATAAACAAACCTCTATAAAACTTCTAGTTTTGTTTCTAAAGTCACACTTTTTCTTTGTTTTTTGTGGCCACAGACATCAAGGGTGTACATTGCACCTTAAGCACTCATTGCAACAGGGTTAAATCAGGGAATAAATGTTTGCAAATTGAAAATTGTGAGGAGTACCTCCTATCACCAGGCATTTCAAAAACAACCAATAACAAATGTGGTGGGTTTCCTGAGCGTTTTCGTACCACATCGTTTATTGTCGTGCATTAGCATGATTATCGTATACTTTACAAATTTTTATTTTACAATAATTTGTATTCAATGTATTCATTCAGTTTTTTCTCATCATCATTATAGCGAAACAACGTTGAATGAAGCAACCGTATTCAAAGATCTACTGTACTTTACTAGCAATTGTTGGTATTTAGTGTATTAAATACATTAATACTTCAAGGCTTTTTGCTTTTATTAATTTTCTGCTCTTGTTATGAATAACCTGTTGGTTGCCAATGCCATTCTCAAAAATATTTTGGTCACTTCTCAAATGCTTATCTATGTAATTGGTCATTTGGCACAGCAACATCTGAAATGATCATATAGATTTTGAGCTGCAAGAGTTATAACTTTGAACAGTTTAGAACAGCATTTTTCAACTTTTTTTTACCCTTGCCAAACCCTTGAAATAATTTTCACGTCTCAGGGAACCCCTACATAAAAATTATTATATATCATTATTAATATCTTTCTTTCTCTTTTATAAACTTTAAGTTCTTAAGGAAAATTTAATACATTTTTTCTGTTAACTGGTTTAAGTAAAAAACTTATGTTTTTCTCAAGTTTATTGACAATAAAAAAAAACTGAAATCAAACTGCTTGTTCAAAACAGCTCATATAAGGTTTTCATTCACACAGAAAAATTAACCATATCTGTAAACAAAAAAATAAACAAATAACTAGTATCACATATAACACATATAAACAGAGCAAAAACAGATAATAACTACTACACTAACTTAATCATTTATTGGCAATGTTGAAAAGGCATAAGATAAATCAAGGCAGAATGTCATCTATACAGTAAATGTTATTTTTGAAGCCAATTTAGATGGTGAAATTTGCTTCTCTAATGTTAAACCTGTGGTTGTCTTTTGGTAAACAAATACTTAATTCGAGGTCAAACTTTAGATAAACACACATGGATTTCATCTTCATCTGAAAGGAGATGATTTCTGTCTTTGCTCTTGATACTTTTTAAATAAGAAAAAGCTTGCTCAGGGCCTTGCAGTGACTTATTCAGTTGATTCATGTAATGAAAAATGTCTGCTAAGTAGGCTGGCCTCTGCAACCATTTTTCATCTTCAGAGTACTTTGGCAGAATCTTGCTTATTGTTTTCTTGAAAGTATTTCTGCAATTCATCTTTCAGCTCAAACACCCCATTTAGAACTCTTCCTTTACCTGATCAGCCACCGGATTACTGTATGTAGCAAGAGATTTATGTGCTATTTGTCCAGGTTTTCTCACAGCATTTTAAACATTTTGGAGTGAACTGGTCTTTGTTTAATACAGTTGACCATTTTTGTAGCATAATCAAAAACTTTTCAATTCATCTCCAAGAGATTTTGAAATCAGCACCTCTGTGAAGAAACCAGTGTGTTGAGACAATATCAACATTTTTTGTTTTGCAAGGGAAACCAAACCTCTTATGGAGCCAACCATTGATGGAGTGCCATCAGTACAGATGCCAACAGTTATTCCAGGAGAGACCTCTTGTTTCCAGATATGAAGCTGAAATATTGAATTTATCTGTTTCCTTTGCTTTTCTCAGGAAATTCTTTACAACAGAAGAAGTTTTCTTGAATTTTACCCTCACTGACAAATCTTGCAAAGGCTACAGCATGACATTCATTGGTAAGATCTGTTAACTCATCAACCTGGATAGAAAAACTGCTATTTTTTCAATTTATCACACAAAACCTCTTCAGCATCATGTGACATCATTAGTACGACAATTTATTGTACTGTTTGAAAATGGAATATTTTCAGTTTCTTGTACTACATCTTGTCCCAGCATTTTACGTACTATAATTTTACATTCATAGTGTGGAAATTCTGAGGAGGTGTGGAGTTACTAAAAGTATTATTCAGAGGGCTGAAGAGGGGTTGTTTTATTTTTTTATTTATTTATTTATTTATTTATATATTAACAATTTGAGCACACATACAGAGGTACAAAAAAATACAGATAAGAGCAGCAT